TAGGAAGTATCCATCCATTTCCTTGTAATTCCTTGCAGGCACATGGCAGAACAAGTAACGTCTGTTTAAGGTCATTTGTATGGTCTATGGAATCAGAGATGCCTAGGCCCAGATCTCTGGTGGGAAAGCCGAATGTTACGTGTTTTATTACTGTGTATTATCTTGGGAGGGCTTCTGCTCTGAAAGCTGGATGAGAAATAATTTAAATAAAAGGTATGGAACAGTAATGCAATGCAACACAAGCAACACAGGATTTGGCCCAACAGCTCCTTTGCAGAAGCATTGAATGGTTGAGGTGGAAGGGGCCAAGAAGACCATCAGGTCTAACTCCCTGCTCGATGTTGGGCACCAAGTCAAAACATCCCCGGCAGCTGGCTGTCCAACTTCATCTTCAATGCCTCCAGTGTGGGAGAGCCCGCTATCTCCCTAGGGCTTTGGTTTCTCTGGGATTTGTATGAGATACCAACTAATGAAGGGCAGCACTTGGTGGAACAACACCTGAGCACTTGTCAGTCGGTCGTGTTTGTAAAAGTAAATTGAAAGCACAGAAAGGGGAGGCCCTAGGAGGGACGGGCGGGAGAGTTGAAGCCCTTGGAGCCACCGCGGTGCCAGTCTAGATTGAGGGTCCTCCATTGTCTGCCTGCATCAGGAGGACAAGTCCCCTTGTCCATACTGGGAGCTTTCTACTGGATGCAAAGCACAGACTCGGAATGGGGTGGAATCAATCTGCATTGAGACTCTGATGGAGGCCTAGCCAGAAAGTTTGCCCCTCTCAGGATTTGGATCCAGTTTGCCACTCTATGCCTGCTATTTACTTAAAGGAACACTTTAAGTTGCTAATTGCTTGAATAACAAATTGCTTTAACGCTATCCTGTCTAGTCTGGAGCTAAAAGAAACAAAGAAACAGGCAAACAGGAATAGAGGGAAGCCAATAAACAATAGCGGTGGAATTTACAGAGACCCCCCAGGATGTAGCAATTTAGCAGCAAACACACTATTTATGAGAGCCATAAAACTTTTCTCCCCACCTGCAAGTGTGTAACAGCTTCCAGTCTATTCAAATGCTGCTAACACTTCGCATTAACCAGATGTTTGGTTTTTTCAGTAGATTTTCCTTAATTCTGCTATATATAATATGGAAATACACCATGGTGGCAGATGGCTGATCTTCTCCTCCTTCTTCTTCTTAATGGAAACCTTTTGCCAAAAGAGATTTTTACTTGTCTCTGAATGTTCGGATTTTGTTAATTTTCCCCACCCTGAAAATACACCATTTTCTGAATAAAAAACAGATCAAGTGGATGGCCACTTGAAAATCGCTAAAAAGCAGGATGCCCATCACTATAAAAAGGGGGCAATGATCCACATTAAATTGCATATGCTAACATATGGATAGATACACATTTAGAAATAATTATTATACTGTAATAGTAATACAGTTCATCTTACTCCAAGGTGGAAAACTGGCCAAGTGACCTGTTAGGCTTGCTTGGCCTCCTTTCCAAATCTTCAAAGCCTGGCTCTCCCTTCTGATGGTCCTTTATCTCTGGGGCTTGGTTGGGCAGCCCTTCAAAGAATCAGAGAACGGTTCTCTGGCAGCCCTTCCAAGAAAAGATGGACCTCTGCAAAAGAGGACACCTGGCTACTTTAGATCCATTGCATCTTTTTTTTAAAATCCTAGTATCAGGAGCTGTGGGCCCTCAACAAATGCCCAATCATGCTTATCCTTGATGGCAGACTTAGCTGCCAGTTTAGAACCCTGAAGAACCAGGTTTTGAAATCATGCAGAGAGTGTACCACAATCTTCCAACATGCCAGGATGCTGGATCCACCCAGGATGTGCCAACATGCAGGACGCCTGGCTGGTCCTCCAAGCACCTGTGAACCGGGAACACCCCTGCAGGAGCTTGTGGGTACAGCTGTGTGGCCAGAATGCAGCTTGGCTGGACGCCTGCAGAGAAGCATGAAAGGCTTTGCTGCGGCTCTGCTCCTTGCCACAGCAACGGGAGCCATTCTGGCAGCTACGCCATGCCTCAGCGTCCAGCACTCCCTTGCTCTAAGGCATTTTCCTGCCTGCCTCCAGCCAGCTTTTGCTTGCATGCTTGTCTCCAGCCTGGCCGTGCCCTGCTAGGTTCCTCCACCCATCCTCCCTGACCTTGCCGTGCTTCTGAACCAGACTGCCTTTCCTGCACCTAAACTCCGGCCTGCTCCTGGACTCCGTTCCTGCCTCAGTCTTGCTGTCTTGCTGGCTCTTGACCTTGGACTGTTCTCAGAGGTGCTCCTTGTCTCTGACCTGTGAGACCTGGTGCAAGTCTCCATCAGGCAACTGCACCCGGCTCCCAGCGCCCTGGCCATAGCTGCCTGCTGCCCACCCCTGCGCCATGCCCAGAGCATACTGGGAGAAGGGGCAGGGGAAGAGGCTGGGACAGCTCAGGTGGGAGGGAAATTGTCCAAACCCCACAAGCTCCAGTTCCAGCCTGAAGTTCGGCAGCAACGGTAGTGACCTGAGCCTATTGCGAAACGTCTAACTCCGACCCATGAGAAATCTCCTTTCACAGGCAGTAGATATATTCAATAAAGCACCTGGGCCTACAGGCTTGTGATTTACCGCACGGAGCCTAGCAGAGTCAGGGTTTGCTCTGTGTTGCTTTGCAATCAATAACGTTTTGGGGCATTAGCCTGAAGGCATGTTACTAATTGCCTTGAATTCTCTGCAGAGGAGTTTAAGCAAGATAAAGAGAGTGCCGGATCAATGGAATGGAATCTGAATATTGGATTTCTTAAAAAAATAAATAAATAAACCATGTCATTGTTGATCATCATTTAAACTTCTTAACATGTGCATACGCACACATGGACTTCTCCAAATACCTAAAGGGGATGGAGGGGGGCGGGAGCCACAAGGAAACCACGAAACAGAAGTGAAGTTTTTCAGAAAGTGGGAGACATCATGGGGCAGCTTAAAGAACCAGGGGTCCAGGGGTCCTGCAAGCCAGAACACTGCGACACCTCAAAGCCAAGGTGAGGAACACGCGGCCTTCCCAAAGTTGTGCTGCAGCAGGACTGGCCCAGTAGGCCTTGTATTATGTCCTCATGCATAACTTTTGTGTTTCTTAGCTCTTCTAGCAAGGGCAGAAATGGCATTGCGTTGCCGCCAGCCTTTTCGCCTAGCAGAGCCTGAAGCCACTCCCCTTCTTCCACGGTAAAGAAAGCCAAGCCGAACCTCAGCACTGAATGCTTCATGAGAATATACCCTGCTACGTTTCTGCTTTCTGTTTGGACAAAGCACACCCGGAAGCCCTTTGGGTGTTACGGTAGGCAGAGGTGCAAATTCACCATCGATGTGTTTATCCGTCTATTTGCTGGTAAGCCTTGCATGTGCTTTCGCTTATCATAGGTGGTACAGCAGCCAGATCGATAAAGGCATCAGCAAGGGGGATGCTGCCAAGATTGGTGGAGAGAAGAGAAATCTTTCTTAATCCTCCCCCACCCCACCAGGCCGACCAACCCTCCCAAACTCCTGGAGCAGTCCAAGTGATTAAGCAACAATTCACCATAATTTAATGTGAGGGTGTAATTAAAGCGCTGTAATACATTCACATATCAGTAGTTCAGTCATCAACCTGCAGCTCCCGTCTAGAAAGATTACATTCATTATGGCCAATGGATGCGCCCGGAGCAGCCATCTGAGCCAAGCAGACCTGCTTTAACTACTCCCCTTTGATCCAGGGTTACAGCAGCAAGGGCCTTGGCATGGGGTTACGAAAGGCAGAAGCGGAGTGCCAGCCCATTTCCGCTTCCCCCCCCAGCCCACAAAAACGCTCTTTAGAAAAATGCAGCAGCGGGTTGGATGAGTCCCCCGAACGTAGCTCGAGGAAAAGGATTTTGCAGCGGTGTGTGAGCTACCTGTTTCTGCGCCTGTTCAATGCAGACAGGCTCCCCAGAGCAACATATTCTTTGGATTCTGGAAAAAGGGCTTTCGCTGTTTGCTCTGTGGAGACAAGCGCTCTGCAAGCTGCTTCGGCGTGAGCCAGGCTCAGCCCTTCCATCACTGTGCGGTGGCCGATGCAGGAAGGGTTTCAGAAAGGAGTTTTTGGAGAGGACAGGATTATCCCCATATGCAAGGGGGGGGGGCTCCATCACGGTGGCCCTCCCCAGCCCTTGGAACAGAGGGACTTCTGGTTGCAGGGGTGGCACAAGGCAGTGAGGAGGGAGCCTGAATTGCTGCTGGAAGGCAGGTCACAGGGAGGGCCCCACACTCAAATGGCAGACGGGGGCTCTTCCTTGCACTCGTCTGAAACAGGATTTGGCTTTTCATTGTGGCTGCAATTTTTTTGAAAAGGGAATAGCCACAATGTTCTCCATTTGGGAAACAAAAAGAAAATGGGATGGGATGAGATGGGATGGGATGGAGGGAGAGATTCGAATGTGGGCAAAGATGGTATGTGGAAAATGAGAAACACTATTCTGATTAATCCTGACAAAATTCTGCAGTGATTCCATTCTGATGAGGATTGGTGCACTCCATTGTCCCCCTGATTCTAGCAATATTCTGTGTATTGAGGTGGGGTTTCCACTAACTTGCACTCTTTTGGGATGGGGAGTTGAAATGTGGGCAAATTGTGTCATGTGCTTTAAAAAGATGGGTGATCCTTTGAAAGGGTGCGTGATCACAAACCTACCTGTCCTCTATCAAACCCCACAGGGGCAGGTTCCCCTTTCAGCAATATCCTTGCCAGCTTCATCCTCCCCACACCAGTTCCTTTAGCACAGCAAGCCCCACAAGTAAGAGACCATGTCCAATGCATCCCCCCCTTGAGCGCTTCCTAATCCTAGCACCTGGTTCAGATCAAGGAGGCAGGTTAGCTCGGGCCTAAAGCCACTGGCCTTGTGCAATCTCAGAATATGTTCTGGGGTTCCTCCAACATTCACAATGAGCGGATCAAGCTGCACCCCTCGAGTTGCACAAGACATCCCCACCCTGGATGTGCAAACCTACCATGATGACGAACAGAGCAGGGCCCACGAAAGCCCAGATGACGCCATGCTCCAGCGAAAGCCAGCAGCTGGAAAGAGAGGGACAGCGAGGGGAAAGCTGTTCACCGAGTGGTTCAAAGAGGCAAGCAGCAAAGATCAAGGTTTTTAACAGGCTGGGAGAACACGCTGGAAGCTGTAAAAATGGAGGTGGGCAACCATCTGCTTCTGCTTTGGATGCTTGCTTATTTCCTTGCTTATTTAAAACAAATCATCTGTTCAGGTCTTTTGGACCCTTAAGCATCAGCCAGACACTGGCACTGGATTTCAGGTTAAACACTGATAACATAGCTGTTAGAATTTAATAATACTAATGCTAACTAATACTGATTGGGGCTACAATCATGAAGAGGTTTCGTACTTCTCTGTCCATCTGGACTAGCTAGTGGCTTCCTCTCCGAGGGAGGGCTAGAAAAGGCTTCATATTTGGGATGAGATATTCCTTGGGCAATGGTGCTATCTGGCAAGGTGGACTCCTGGGTGCTGCTATTGCTGAGCACGGGTGGGACCCACATTGCTCAGTGATTGTCCCCCCACTATGGGACCTCGCCAACTGGAGCAACTTACTTGTGGTTCTCTCCGTAGCTATCCACAGCTGTAGTGATGGAGATGACCCAGATCAGGAACGGGCAGCCTGAAAAGTGAGAGAGAGAAATATCACAAAAATAGTTCCGATGGTGGTGGCGGTATTGCACCTTGCTTTGCCTTATTTTCCCATTCAGAAATCTCAGGTAAGATATGAGATATCGCAGAAGACTGTGACAGGAGGTGAAGTCCATACTTCCCCTCTGATGTTTCGATTGCTGGAGTAATTTGGGGGCTGACATGGCAAGCCGACGAGCACTTGCCTAGGAGCAAAACATAGAACCGAGCAACAGGGACGGGGAACCTGGAGTCTCCCAGATGCTTGGGACCACTGCCCCAGTCATCGTGACTATTGGTGGTGCTGGCTGGGGCTGATGGGAGTTGCAGTCCAACCATGCCTGCAGTGCACCAGACATGCTGTTTTAAGGGATGGGCATTTTTCAGATTAGGGACCAAGGTATCTTTCGAAAGGAGATGCCAGAGGTTGAACCCGGGGCCTTCACCGTACAGAGCTGGAGCCCCATTCCTGAGGTGTGGTCACTTCTCCATATCTCAGACCCTGGTATTCCTAAAAGTGAGGATGAAACTCCCACTCTGTAGGGTAGAGAATGGGTTCTGCTCTTCATTTCGGTCTTACCAAATGTGGTGCCTTTCCTTTGGGATTAAATGGGATGCACTTATAGGGAGGTACACTTAGAAATAATATTGTGTGTGTGTGTGTGTGTGTGTGTACGTGCATGTGTGTGTATCTTCTAGACACTTCTTCAGTGTCTAGAAGAAACAGTCACTGAAAATCTGCCCTGAACTCCTGTGAACTGTCAGGCCTTTGTCTACAAAGCCCGCCCTTTCCAACCTGCCTTGCTTTGGTCAGGCTAGAGTATTACAGAATATTGGAAATTACTTTCACATCTTCAAAGTGAAGAGAATCTAGGTTTCAAGAGCCAAATTGCTGGTGAACATTTCGTCTCCTTCTCCTTCACCTTCTCCATCACCACCACCACCACATTACATTTCTGTACCACCCATAGTTGAAGCTTTCTGGTGGTTCACAACATTTTAAGTCTCCCATCCAGATTCCAATCAGAACTGACCTTGCTTAGCTTCCAAGATTAGGCAGGATCGGGCACTTCAGACTCAATGGAAGCTATATTTCACATCAAAGATTTGTAGAAGGAAAATGTGTGTATACCTTTCCACACTGCCACACAGTATATGAGTCAACAACACAGCTGAGGAAGAGATGTTCCTCAACATGTGTGTAGGTGGACAATTATTTTTCATAGGTATAAGGATGCATAATTTGTAACCAACAGGAGTGAAGAAAGTCCGCACTGAACATATACATGTTGCCATAAATAGTGGACATGTTGCTTTATTTTTGAAGGGGTTTTAAATAGGTTGTTTAAAACAAGTATATTTAGGAAACAAATCATTTTTTCATTATTTTTATCCTTCCTATTATTGCTGCACTTCATTATGTCTAAGGACGATGCCTACTTAATCATGCATCTAAGTGCTGAAAGCAAAATTTAGAGCAAAACAACCCTCAGAAAATCCACCTAACTATCTGTCAGGTTTTGCTCCATTACTTAAGTGTATAATTTTAACAGATGATGCAAGATGCCCATTGCAATTGTGTTTCAGCATTTGCAATCAACTGCTGTGAAATGCCCAGAAAGCTTCCATTATTGGATAATACAGAAAGGAAATCAGTAAGAACAACAACTTGAATTATTATATAAATGCTGCTTTGGGCAGCAAAGGGGTCCTGCAGCTACCCAGCAGCCCTGTTAGTTGCTTTCGCTGGCTGAAGGGGGAAATCTGAAGGACCTTGTCCCAGCATCTTTGGCCTTGGTCCATGTCGAAGAACTCCTGTAGATTTGGGGATGCTTTCCTAGTATTGTTTTCTGGTATTGCACATTTAGTGCATGGGCTGGCAGGGAAGTCCATTGGGCTGTAGGGTTTTTTTCTGTCTAAACATCCATAGGATTAGCCTTTAAGATCATTAAACATAAGGTGAAGCTCTAATAAAGAACTGAGTTTCTGAAGTTTTCACCAGCTTCTGTGGGAAAGTGGGGAGGAGACAAGACCTGTACATAGCATGCACGCACGCACGCACGAGCACACACGCACACACACACACACACACACTCTCTCTATTGGGATCTGCGTGCACCCTTTAAAACTAGCAGAAGCATGGTTGTAGAGGTTTTGTTTGTTTATTGACATGGGGGAAATAGCAACATTGAAAAGCTAATGTCTGTTTTCAGAGATGAGTGTCTTGGGGGCTGGAATGAATTGTGGGCTTCTGGATGTGATATGTTTATATCTGTAATTGGATACATCATGGATTTCTGCCCTTCTCTGCCCGTATTCTTTGTTCTCTGCAAACGCCAGTGGTGATTTATTGCCCCCTATCGTCACCGATTGTGGAGGAATGCTTTTGAACACTTTCACTCAGGTGGTGTTCATAACGGAAACTTTCCTTTCTGGCCCTTGCCTGCAGGGACAGTGTGTCACATGCATTTCTTTCACTCATTCAGAGCGGGGGCAAGATGGTGCAAGAAGCATTGCTCTCGCTCTTAGTTGACTTTCCCTCTGCATCATACAACGCTAGGCCACATTTGATTGGCTCTTCAGCTCTGTGGCACAGCCATGCTCACATTGTCTCTGGTGGGCTGGCATCATGTTGCAGTGAAGAGGAGACAACAAAGGCAGAGAAGGGGGAAGAGCTACTTGAAGGAACAGTGAAGGCTGGGCCTTGAAAAATTATGAGCTGGATGGGGGATTTCAGGCTGTGTATCCTCCTCTCCCCCAAAAGCCCCCTTTCATGCCAAAATGCTCACTTACAAGCATTCAGCACAGCTCTTTCCGTCATTCCCAGTGTGAACTGGCTCTCACTGCCTTGCGACGGAAGAGAAGGAATATCTGCTCGACAAGAATTACAATTTGACTGGAGTGCCTAATCAATAAACGTGGCCCTGACCCAGAACCATTCAAAGACAACCTCCTGTTTGGCTACTGCAGATAACAACATTCTCTGTCTTTGATCCAACTTCCCAAAAAGAATAAGAAAAAATCTAATCTATTTTGCTTCTGCTCCCCTCGGTGCCTCCTAGCAAAGCAATATCGGGCTCATCGCCTTTAATAACACTCCGGAGTCAATGGCTCCCAATCCAAGCTGCTAAAAATATCTTCTGAAACAGAAAGTGCCAAAATCTCCCTGGAGATAGCATTCTCAGTATAGTTGCAATGTTAGAGATGGAGAGATGGAGAGATTTCGGCACCCAGTTCCTCTCTCTTGATCTCCACAAATACAGGCGAGGGGAGGGATGAATAAAAAGTTGCAATAGATATGAGTTGCAATAGATAACCCTTGGAGGGGAGAAGGCATGGAGTTGTGTGTTCAGGAAGGGCAGAAGAATCGCAGTGCACTGCATTCTGGGAGAAAACACTTCCTTTCAGAGGTCTACACAGATCTCTGGGTTTCCTGCAGATTCAAAGGTAGCAGTAAGACTTAATAATGAAGGAATAGAAATTGTGAAAGATTTCATGTACCTTGGCTCAGTCATCCATTCAGAGGGAGACTGCAGCCAAGAAATTTGAAGAAGATTGCGACTTGGTAGGGCAGCAATGAAGGAATTGAAAAGGATCATCAAGTGTATGGATGTATAACTGCAGACCAAGATCAACACTGTCCAGATTATTGTATTCCCTGCCACAATCTATGGGTGTGAACGCTGGACAATGAAGAAAGCTGACAGAAGAAAATTGAAGTATTGGAAGCTTGAGGCTGGAGGAGATCTTTGCAAATACCCAATTCACAGACCAAAGAAAATGAATTTGGCATTTGTAAAATGGGGGGAAATGGTCAAAAAGATCTTCATAAATGCAAGGAGAGTCAGTGCAAGAGAATCAGCTGCACCATGGAACTGCATTTCTTGAAAATCCCCTTGAATTGTTTCTATGAAATTCTTCTGAATGACTCTGAGTTTGGTTCATCATCGAATTAGCATATTGATACAATCAAAAGAACAAACCTGGAGGCTGATTTAATTATGTGGTTAATCACTTGAACTGATTTGCCTGCTGGAGTGATTGAGTAACTTTAGCTAAAATAATTGAAGAACTAACTCCCAAAGTTGAATGAATCTGAAATTTATTAAGGGCATGATCCTATGTATGTTTAGACAGAAGAAAGTTCTATTGCTCCCAGCATTCCCCTACAGTCATGATAATTAGGGAATATTGGGAGTTCTCGGATTTTTCCTACCTGAACACACATAGAATTGCTCCCTCAGAGAGCAATGCTGTAGTCCCTAGGAAGGCATTCCAGGAAGCAAAGGAGATAATTTCTCTTGGCTGCCATGGAAAACTCAGACTAGGACAAGGAGGAGATACAGCCTTTCCCAGCCATTTATCCTCCAGAAGTTTGACATACCAGCTTCCATCCTTCCCAGCCACCATGCCTGATGGTGAGCAAGGGGTGGAGTTCTGCGACAAAACATCTGGGTAGACACCAGTTTGGGGCAGGATGTACCCAAGAATGAGTGGCTGGGAGCATTTCCACACATACCTCTTTCTCCCAAGAAGACGTGTTGTATCTTTGGGAGACTGGTTCCTTTTGTTCTTCTTGAAGGTACAACTGTGGAGCATGTGTGTAGGTTGCTCAGAATTCCAAGATGGAGTGGGTTATAATGTGTGTGGCGGGAGGACAACAATGACACAACGCCTTGCTTGTTTACAGAGAAAAGCTCTACAGCATCCAGTATTATTCAGCTATCCATGATGCATAGAAAATGTCAGTTCAGAGACATTTAAGACAGAGCTGCTTGCTTAGGTGCCACATAGCCTTAACCTGGCAGCTTTCCTAAAACTCTTCTGAGATGTTCCTGGGATTTAACCTGATTATTTATCAGCTGAAAACTGCACTGGAGAAGAAAATTAAACAGAGAGTTCCCTGGCAAGATAGTAAAACTTTAGCAGATGAAATGCCAGGCAGTCATCTGGATAACAAGAAGAGCTAATTCCATGAATGTAAAATGGTCTGCAAACTCAGCTTTTCTCTTTTAGGTTTTAATGGAATATTAGGAGATAAATTGGCAAAGGCCAGGTAGTGTTTGGGGGTGGGGAGGGGGCTGAGTGGTGAAATACCACTGAATTTGGTTACTCTGAAATAAACCAATTGTCTTCCTAAGAGCTAACCACTTGAGACAATAGAAAGGGAAGAAAGCGCTTCCACTTAGGGTCGTAACACTGGAATCTCCTTGAAAACCCTACCGAGGGATAATCGATTGCCCACAATAAACAAAAGCGCTCATGCATTTCACTGCCTGGTTGGGGGCACAGAAGCTGGAGATGAGCTGTACAATTTAGGCACAGCAGCTAAGATATTAAAGATCGGTGCATTAAGGCAGCATCCTATGCATGTTTAGGCAGAAAAAGGCCAACAGTTACAGCATTCCTTAGCCAGCAGGGGTGGCTGACAAATGATGGGAGCTGTAGATTATTTTCTGCTTAAAAGTGACTAGGACTGCACCCTCAGGGTCTCATATGTGGGGCAGGTGATCCACATGAAAGAGGTTACTCTTCCCCCCAGTAACTCTAATGCTAAGTCAGGTTGAAAATTGGTGTCTGGCCCAAAGTCATCCAGTGGATTTGATGGCCAAGTAGTGACATGAACCCTGTTTCCCTGAGTCCCAGTCGAGTCCTCTAACCACACCAGCTCTCTTTTAAACTTGCTCTTCTTCGTTCTTGTCATGTACCCAGTCAAACTGGGCTACAAAATGGTGTCAGTGTGGGGAATATAAAATAATAAAGATGGAAACACTTCAAGCAACATTGGCTTCTCTCAGGATCCAGGTTTCTGATTGCTTATCCTCAAAGGGAAAGGAGACAAGCCCAAGGTATGCTGTCCCTCAGGTCAGGAAGAAGATTTGGTCCTGAAAGTACATTTTGTTGACAAAACAAAGCAACAAAAAACATCCAGTGGGGCCAACCCCCAGGTGGACATGAAGTCCAAAAACTACAGGTCCAGATCTGCACTACTCCACACTCACCTTTGAATGATCAGTGTTGAACATTTTTAGGAAAGACCTACGCCCATTTCAGGAGGAGATTTCCATTTGATGAGCAGGCTTGTGCAGGCGCACATGCAAACAGACTAAATGAAGCCAAGACACCCCTTAAGGCTCCACCAGGGTTGGCAGAGGTTGGAGCAGCAAAGAAGTGAAGTTGGAGCTGTCTGTGGTGCTATGCACTTCGTTCTTCCAGTCCTAGCTCTGACCTTGGCCCGATCTCACCACAACCCCAGAACTTTCCCCTCTTTGGAGGGGGTACACATGGTGAGACTATCATACCCTTCCTACGTCTGGACCCCAGACTTGCTTGACCATTCATTTGGAACCTCCCTTCTGTCAATCCCCCAACAGACTTTTTCTATATCCAGAGCCAGAACAGCTTTGCTCCAATTTATCTTTAGTGAAATCATCACATGGGCAGATCTGATGGGTTACGTGATCTTGTCATCATTGCTAAGAAGAAAAAGTTGCAGGAGAAGAAACATTGCCAAAATGGAAGTCAGGTGCAGTTGCAAATGGGCTTATAGTGGAGATGATACCTGAATAAGGGGGGTGAGGGGCTGCTTGCGGGGATGTATATGCACCCCCCTTTCACAGAAAAGGAGAAAACATTTTTGGCTGACATGAGCGTAGGAGGAAATGTCTCTGAAACATTAATTTCTCTCTTTTCTTCCCATTATCAAGCCAAAGGGCAAATATGCAAGAAAACCCTACAAAGCAACCACGATCTCATCACGCCTACAGTCACAGAAAGATTCTTCATTGCATCAGTGTGTGATGTTTTAAGCAACCCATGCTGAAGCGTACATCAGTGAAACACGGTCTGAAGTATACTTGGGTTTTCAGAACATCGCTCCTTTTCCCCTACCTCTGATTAGTGAGCTTTGACAAGCACCATTTCTACCTCCCTGGAACAATGAGGACAAAGACGGCCTCAGAGGAAGGCCAAATTGAGTTAGATGGAGAAAGGAGAGTGTGCACGCACATGCGCCTACATGCGCTTAGATGCTCTTCCACTGCCTGGGACAGAAGATGGAGGGACAGAAGATGGAGGGGGATCATGAAGGGAAGAGGGGAAGAAGGAGAAAGGGCCAAAAGATATACATAGAAGAGCTGTAACTGCCTGCTCCTGATGCTCCCCCTTCGCAACCACCTTTCCCCCACTAAATCTGCAGCCTGGAAGAAGACCACTGCTTGTTGGTTTCTAGCAGCAACACAAGGAGAGGCATAGCTTCAATTCTTTCATGGGTGGCCCATTCATGGCTGTCTGAGGTGGGTCAGGAGCCTCAGGAATAAAGAGGACGTCTGAAATCATCAGAGAAACTGAAAGGCAAGGCTGAAGTATAAGCCAGAAGTCTGGACCAAAAGGCAAACCCGGAGGCCTTGTCGAGAAGCAAGATAGCCATCAGGATAAAGGAACAACCAAGGGTACAAATGTCACGACTTGGGAACAATTTGCTGCTTGTGCCAAGCACAAAACCAGGAAGTCCTCCATCGCTTTCCCGACCAGGAGGATGCACTGGCTGACCTAATGAGCAAAGGCCACCCACGGAGGGTGCCCGGATGGAAAGTGGGCTCCTGCAGTTCAGCAGTTCACCCTATGGGGTGCAACTCCACATCCCAGCAGCTCCTGGCAGACTGGGAAGAAGGCAGAAAATATCACTGCGGACTGTCCCCCATATCTGCTACACTCCTGCATGAAAGCAGTGACGAGAGAGACTCCTTCAGTACCCCATGTGAGGAGCACTCTCCAATTTGGCCTGCATCACATGGCCTTCTGGAATGCTTCCTCCAAGGAAGTCCATTTTCACCCGGTTCTGTTGTGAATGGGAGTTTTCTTGGAATGGGAAAGGGGGAATTGCCTACCCCATCCAATTCCATAGTAGTATAAATGCTTGCTCTCTTCAGATCCAAACACTTTGATCACCATACTGTAGAGATGGAAGCCTTCCACCAGCATCCAAGCAAAGGCACTCAGGAAGAAGAAATGGAGTAGAACAGCCAGGACTTTGCAGGGCACCTGGAAAGAAATCAAAACAAGCAAATAAATAGAGATACGTGTGAAACATTGAAAGCACCAGCCGATGCAGTTTGCAGTCCTGCTAAAATATTGCTTATAATACATGCATCAGATGCCCAATCTGTATCTTACATATTTTATCTCAAATCCCTATACAATCCTGTAAAGTAAATCCACAGTTTTGTCCTCCCCTGGTGACTGAGGTTAGGAGGAGCTTGCTATAACAAATAAGTTGTCCGAGCTGCAATTAGGACTAGGGCTGAGCCAAAATCGCAGGCCTGTTGGAGCCTGCAGAACCATACCTGTACAAGACTCTCGATAAATGCTTTATGGGAGAGGCTAAAAAGCTGCCCCACTAACAGAGGCAGGGGGAAGGAAGGACATCTTGGTGTTACCTTGGCAACACGGAGATGCAGCTCTGCTTTGCACTGTGTTCTAACCTTTTGTAAAATAGGTCCTATTTTAAGCTCTATTGAGTTGGCTTCAGTGAGCCTCTGGTGGTAACCAGAAGGGGCCAGACTCAGGGTGAAGGTGAATTAAATGGGGAAGATTTATTTAAAACGTAGCAGACGAGCAGGAAATCACGTTTAAGAGATGACAGCACAACACACACACAGGATCAGGAGAAAATAAAAAGAAACCTGAGAACGAAATACAGAATAAAATGTAGAACGTGTGGAGCCCAAGAACCAGAGTCCCACGCAAGACCTATAGGGGCCTTCGCTGTTTGTCCCTGATCCTATCCTCAGCCCCAATTTGCACCACACAAATTGGGCAGGCCAGCCTGCACAGACCTCACGCATCAGCTTGACATTTGATCTGCAGGTCACAGGGATCAGAAGATGGGACAGATCCCCCCAAACAAAGGCTAAGACCCTTTTATTTAAAACTTATTTTAATTGTTAATTTATTGGTTATTTATAGGATTTTAAATCTTTTAAGCTGAGATGCACTGGGTTGTAATATTTTTATTGTATAATTTGTTATATTTGTATATTTTGTGCTTGTTGTGAGCTGCCCCGAGGCTTTGTTGCGATGGGGGCAACATAAAAATGTTTTAAATAAATAAATAAATAAATAAATAATAAATACATAAATAAATAAAAACACAAACATCAGTCCAAAACTGACACACAACCCGTCTGACTGGGCAGTGAAGCAAATGTGACTTTTTAAGACCCTCTGTCTGCCCAAGTTTAAACAGAACCTCTCACGAGGGAGTTGTGCCTCTTTCAGTTTGAGGACCCGATGCCCTTTAGGAGAAGCTTTCCAGGGTAGCATCCCAGGTGGATTATGCCAAAGGCAAAGGGTCGAAAGTCACAAAAACAGTAGCATATTTTGGTCTCAAGTGCTTGCTGTCCATAATTAAGCCTTAGAAGAAGCCTTCCAATGGGGAAAGAATGGACACGAGCTGGGAAGCCACCAAGCCACCGCTGATGGGGAGGAGAAGGTTGGTGCCCAGGAATGGCATCCACATGCCCACATCACATCCCGCAGCTGCCCTGATGGGGAAGGTTGCCAGTCGCACCGCGAGGGGTCTGTGGGCATTTACAGGGATGGTGTGTTGGGGAGACACGTGCCAGCAGCCAGCAGAGCCAAATATTTGCTGAGCACGATGAGAGGCAAAACTAGATGGGGACACCCATTTTCTCTCTTTTGCCACCCTCCTCTCTCTCTTTCTCACACTCCTTCCTTTGCATCTCTTTCTTTCTGCCAATCCATTCTCTTTTCCACCCCCTTTTCTCCATCTCTCTTCGCTTGTCATTGTCTAATCCACACAATTTGGTATGCATGTTTAAATGCACAGGTTCTTCCAAGCACTTTCATTCCAGCAGGATTCCATGACTATTCCCATTGCGTTCCAAGCATTTTTCCATGGTGTGCCCATTTTGCAAATAGGCACATTTTCTCTGCATGTTCCCCTTACATGCACAGTTGTCTCAAGGTGAGCTGAACTGCAGAATTTATAAAATGCGGATTTCACTATGTAACTCTGCGTTGGCTCACTTAGGGGCCCAGGAGGTCCAAAGTGGGACAACATATAAGTAAAGGCAACCCCTTAGTTACAGTGGGTCTTATTTCTGAGGAAATGACTACGTGATGCAGTCTCAGTTGCCTTATTCCAAAAAGTAAACATTTCTCCATTGAAACAGTGCCTACGTGGTAAGAGAACATAACTCTGTGTATTTGTGCACACACACACCCACATATGAATGGAAAAATGAAAAGACAGCAAGTGTGACAATAAGACATCCCTTTTTTCATCTCTGAATCTTGCTCCCTACACACATTTTATTTCCCTCTGGCTTAGCTTGCCTCTTTGGAGTTAACACACGGTCTTGCAGATTTATTAAGGGTTGCTTGGTTGTATGTTTTCCTGCCTTGTTGTGGTCTGCTTGTTTCTTCTGATTGCATATTTTCTGCTAAGCGCCCTTCTCTCCGATTTTTTATTGCCCCTCTAAAACAAGACCCTTCTCATCCTGCCTCTTCCCACTCCCCGCGGCTTATCTGTTTCCTCCAGTATTGCTGCTCAGGATTAGAGGGAAGGGCAGGAGGGGTAAGCTAGCCGTTTGCTCCTTCTTGCAGCCATAGGAAATAGGGGCTACAGATCAGGGTGACCGAAGGGAAAAATATACAAAGGTAGCCTCTGCCCACCTTTGTGGCCTTCAAATCTTTCCAAGATCTCAGAAATAGCATTATCTGCTCCATTTGGCTTTCCTGTCTCCCTTGCCCCATTCCCAGTGGAGCCGGCCCTACCATGAGGCCGAGCAGGCCAGTGGACATTGTGGGATGCAATGAGATGTCAAGAGATGCCTTTTAAACTTGATGCCTTGCAAACTTGGTGTCCTTACCATGTTGACCAAGCACCGTAGTGCTCAGGACCACCCCCCCTGATGCCCACCTGCTCCTCTAATCTTAATGTTTAAAGGGTTTTTTAAATTAATACAAAAAAGTATTAGCTGCCTGCCTACTCTTTTCCATTCTTCACACCTCCCTGGATCTAGTAATATTCCAGGGTATTGTATGAAGGAAATGGCAGCCACCACCTCCAAAATATGGTGGAGAATATTGGGAGGTAATGCTTCAAAGATGCATTCTTTTTCTAGGGCTGAATTAAGAGAAAGACATATCTCGGACATCTTTTCAGAGAAATGCCTTCTAGGTAATTTTGCCTCGCCTCCAGTCCAAGGTAACGTCACTGGATCAAACACATGATTGTATCAAGATCAATTTGTGTGCCATGGACATGCAAAAAAGAGAGGAAAAAATTCCAAGAACTGAAAGATATTTCTGAGAGTTTCAGTGAAAAGGTCACCCGAAAACAAGCCCAACTTGGAACAATATTGCCTGTCCAGAATGTCTATTTCTTTCTGGCAGCTAAATTAAGATAACGAGAATATGGTTCCCTCACATGCTGAGTATCTCAGATGAAACTTCCCTATTATTATTAACATCCATAATAGCGATGGTAATTGTTAACTTAAACTTCAGCCCACAGGCTGACTATGATTAATGCATTGTTTTATTGTCTTATTTGTGCTGCCCAACGTTAAAGCAGATGCATCTGTCACAGCCCCTCAAGAACTGATACAAAACATGCTGGAAGGATTAGGGTGTTACTCCGCACATTAGCAAAGCGCCCAACTTTTAATAGAGCTGTGGCAAATCAGAAAGATACACTGCAGTGAGCAGGAGCACAGTACACAACCTGTTGCCCTTGGGCACACTTACTCAGACGTGCCAGGATTCAGTCCTTTCTCTCCCCAGAGCTCAGCTAAAAATCTGGGTTGCAAGGGGGAAAACCCTGTTGTTCCTGGAAATTTCTGTTTTCCTGTGGTTGGTAGTGGTAGAGAAATGAACACCTTGATGGTGGTCCTGGGGGGCTTGGAGGGACCTCCAAAAATCACAGTGAGAGGGAGAGGGACTCAATGGGAGGACACCAGCTTTGCATGCAGAGGGTTCAACTCTCAGCTTCTCCAGCTAGGGCTAGGAGTAGCGTTAGGGTTGGGTGGGCCAAGGAGAGAATCCAGCCCGAATTGCCAGGTAACCTCTGCCAGTCAGAGTTGACACTATGAGGTTAGCTGGGCTAATGGCCTGACCCAGTGTGCAGCAGCTTCCTATGTTCTAAGCCCTTGCTTTGATCTTACCGTTCCAGGATCAAAGTGGAAGCTGATAAGCAGCAGGATTTGAGCCACCAAGATGGCAAACGACAGGTTGGCGTGGATGTGGTAGCGCTGGTTATGGATGGTACTGACAGAGCTGTGGAAAGAAAAGTCGGTTAGCAGGCTGAGAAGAAAGGGCATACTGATGATTCATCTGCAGGGAGCTGGTTTCCTAGGCTGGCTGCACAAGAGTGCCCGAGGCGCTTGCCTAAGTGCCGAGGTTACGTTAAAGCTGCAATTGTACACAGACTGGCATAGGAAGAAGCCACATTGACCTCAACGGAGGTTGCTTCTGAGCAGTTATGCACTCTTCAATTCTAGGCACATATTTATGTAATAAAGTCCCAATGAGCACAATCAGAATGACTTCTGAGAGACTATGTGTAGGATTGCCCTGGATCCACAGCTACTTGCCTCAGTGCCTGCGCACTCTCCCCAGTATCAGAGGGAGAATGCCAATGCACCAGGAAGAAGTCACACCGTGTGAGAACATGGCTGAGAAGGTCCCACTGCACTCCTGTCCTGCTTGTGGGTGTCCCTTCTGGGCAGTGGGTGGGCCACTGCCTGAGCTGAATGCTGGCCTAGATGGGTCCTTCAACCAATCCAATATGGCTCTTGCGATGGCTTTGAATGGTTCTCCATACATTGCACCATTAACTATGGAATTCACTTCCTGAGGATGTAGCAATGGCCACGGATCTGGATGGCTTTGAAAAGGGATGGGATAAATTCATGGAGGAGGAGGAGGAGGCTATCCAGAGCTCTAGTCTGGATGGCGCTAGACTATCTCCAGTACCAGATGCAGTAGGCCTATGTGCACCCATTGCTGGGGAACATGGTCAGGAAGGTGTTAGGGTGCTGTCCTGCTCGTGGGCTCCCTGCAGGCAGCTGCTTGGCCACTGTCTACTTAGCCTGACATGAATTTATTCCACATTCATGGACAAAAGACAGAGGTGGAACCCGAACAGGCCTGGGCACAAACCCGGAAAAAAGCGCTCATCATGATGCATCATGCAAAGGAGACTGCATATTAAGTTGGACCGCTGCAAAGTTCTCGCAAAAGGCAGATCTGAAACCGGGTTCATCTTTCCACTAATTGACCCACTGAGAGAACTCTTTTTTGTAAAAGAATGCAACGGTGATGGGCATTCACAAACACCCCACCGGTGATTTCAAGAGACACGCATCCTCTGACAGTGTCAGGAATTATTCAATAACTGATGTTACGTAAAATTTAAAATGCAGTGTCCCAGATGGCAACTGGGATTGTGGTCTAAGAGCGGGGAAAACTGTCTTTTGTCATCAGGCTAAGTGGGAGATAAAAATCTGCCCCATTCCACTGCTCTGACCTTGCGGCCGCTCCACCCTGGATGCCACATGCCTCTTCACATCTTAATGAGATCAGCCCTCTGGTAACAAGGTCACAACATGATGTTTTAATTGGGATGCTGTCATTTCAATAAGAATGCAACTTAGTGCTCATGAAGTAAGCCCATCTTAATAATATCAGCTCGCCCTTGGTTTTTTTAAGTCATTTGATGGACAGTAGATTCCAACAAGCATTGCTGCTCATTCTGGGCATTCAACCCCGTTAAAAATGCAATCTTTGTCCTCTCCTCCCATAGCAATGGCCTCTGGGTTCAAGGAAACCAATCGATGCAGAATGAAAAGGAGAAATTAAAATGCACACACACAGCCAAAATCGAGAAAAGAAGTTTGCTCTTGTAATACTTGCATCTTTTGAAAACAAACCAGAGTTTATGTATATCTGGAATGGAACGAACTTGAAATGTGAAAATTTCAGTGGGATCAGGGGAAAACCGTCTATGCCGAGCTCTTGGGCAGTGCTTTTTTCATCTTCAAGAATGTGCGTTGCTAAAGCAGAGATGGAAAATATGTGCCCAGATACACAGAAGGAACTGGGCATTCTAAACAAACAGCATTTTTAGAACTCTTCTGGATCTCCCCAAAGTTTGTATGGAGTGGAAGAAACCCCCAGAACAGCAGCAGAACCTGTTCCTTCCCGGGACATATCTTGGAGGCACCTGGAGGTCCAATTCTGGTCCCTCTGCCCAACACCTGTTCTTTTCCTCCTGTCTTAGGTTTCAATGGACCAGACTGTGCAGAAGAGAGGCGTTCCTTCTCCCTTTGCGTGCACCTTTGTGGGAGCTGTGCCTTTCATTGGGCACGTGCCATCAGGTCTCCACTATGGCTGGCCAGAGGGCCATGAGCGCAGCAGGAGCAAAAGCTTGCCTTGGCCAGCATCCTTTCCTTTCCTTTCCTTTCCTTTTCATAACAGAGCTTTGTGGTGCAGAGGTGAAGACAAGGAAGCATAATGCACGGGCCAGGTGTCATCCAGGGAAGCGCCACAGCAGGGAACGTGATGCCCACAAAAGAGAGCGCTGCTTCTCACAGTGCGTAATCAAATTTGCTACCGCAAGCAGAAAGGATGGCTGCCAACTGAGGTGGCTTTATAATCTGTTTAGGCAAATCCAGACTGCTATTCATTGGATGTCTGGAGTGTGTTGATTCTCTTCTGTGTGTGTTTGCCAGGTGAGCTTATTCCGCTGCTGCTTATTGATGACATCAGATTTTATGGAAATGCACCTGCATTTTGCACAACACAAAGCCCCCCGCAACATGCATGCCCATGCAGAACACTTCTCTTCTTCTTTTTTCTTTTCTGCAGAATTTGTGCGATTTCTAAAAAGCCAGTCCACCTCAGGAGCCACTGTTCAGATTCACAGAACTCCAAACTCAGCTGAATCCATTGCAAATTTTTGTAACGTTCCTAACTTGTCCTAATAGTTACATAAGACCTCCAAGATCAGAGGCAGAACACCAGTTTTTATATTTTATTGTACACTGCCCAGAGAGTTTTGGCTACAAGTGGTCTAGAAATAAAACAAACAAAAAATTATACATATTTGGCCACAGAGATAGGTAAACCAGCAATGTTCAAGACCACTGAGATTCTCTGAAGTTTGCTTCACCACCCATCTCATGACCTGCTCTGTGCACATGAAAAAGTGATTCTTTTGTACAGTGATCAAGCATGGAATTTCTGCAGAGTCCCCCAAATTTGCACGGAGTTCTTGATTTGTGCAAATTTCCTTCTGGACTGAAGTAGAGGACACACATTTTCAGAAAGTGGGCCAATCTGCCCAAAGCCAAGTGTGGGGGCGGGGGAGTTACACGAATTGAAGACAAGCCTGTGTCCAGGTGAGACGCTGGGGCAGCTCTCCAAGCCTCAAGGGATCTGCAGGAGATACACACTCATGCTCACAGGTAGGGCTTCCAATGAGACATGCGCATATATGTTGTGAGCTAAGAGGACACGCTCAAGCACCTCTGGCTGGCCATTGCACAAGCAGAATGCTGGGCTTGTGGGCCTTTGGTTTGCTCAGCGGGGCTACGCTTATGCCCCGTGCATAAAATCCAGTATCTCTGACCGGCATCTCGCAGAAGAACGTTGGAATCTGGACTGGCCCCTCAGTGGACCTTCCTGTAGCTGCAGCGGGCCGCTGGCAGCTGCCTCATACAGCCCACTCTCTGGAGCAAGCCATGAAACTGGCAGTTCCATTCAAAGTCACATGTACACATGCAACACAGGTGCAAAATCTCCCCTTCCACATTTTAATTGCTGCCTCCTCTGCTTGAAAAGGAAGGGAATGACTGCAACTTCCAAAGATTGAATAATAACCTTTTAGAAAACTCTTGATGACTGAGAGCATCCAGTCCAGTGGCTTAAAAAGAAGCTGGCATTTTATTTTTATCTTTCTTAAATCTGACTGTCCATATTTCTAGGGAGATATTGATGGAACAGATGGAGAAATCAAAATTACTCACGACAGAACAGCGAATGTAACTAGTGTTATCGTCAGACAGAAGATGGACAGGGAGCAGCCAATGTAAGTGATGGAGGACAGCGCCACCTGGTGTCCTTTGGGTACCTGTGCAGGGAGAGAGAGTGAATGCTTGTATGATTTTGTATTCAGCCAATCAGCGCCCCCAGTTGGGGGGCAGATGGTTTTCCATCTTCAGTCAATGTATTTCCATTTGCAAAGCCAGCTCTGATTCTTGAAAGGGGATTTGAGGATGACACATAAGACAATTGCTCGCCTCCGCCCAGTTTTCCTTTCCAGGTGACGTTCAACATTCTGCAGCTACTAGATACACTCTGGCCTGGGGTTCTCCTTTGAGTGGGGTTTTCTAAGATCCATTCTAAAAGGATGACTTGGGACGCTCTTGCAGAACTTTCCAGTTCCCCTAAGATTACTGATACCTCCTGTTTTTCAGAGACCCCATTTTGTGGTGGCACCAACTGAGTTTGCTGCCTAAAGGAACAGATTGTTTTTTTTTTCTGATTCAGCAAGGCCCTTCTTTCCTTCCTGTCTGTACTTCCTTTTTCTCCCCCTCCCCCTTTCTCTTCACTTCTTTTTCAGCCTCTTTTAGTCACGCAGGCAGGTGAATAACTGTAAACACATCGTGATTTAAAACACTACCAAGCAATATAAAAGCAATGTGAAAAGCATCAATACTGGAAAAATGGTATTTTTAGCTGCAAAAGGTCGAATAGGTTTGCCATGGGGTGTCTGCTAGGGTTTGAGTTTGTTTACTCCAAAAGGGGGGAAATGCAAAGATCCTCATTTGTATTTTGTTCATGTTTAATCATTTCACATTAACTTACTGCTTTTATTTTTATGATTCTTACACGTATATCCCACCTTGCTTCCGGTTCCAAGGAAGCCAAGGTTTCTCTCCCTCTCACCAGAGCAGAGCAAGAGCCCTGCTGGAGCAGAGCGAGGATTCACCTAGTCTTGCTTTCTTCTCATGCAGTGGCTCATCCGCCCACAAGGAAGAAAAGAAGGAAAGCAAGAGCACCTTCCCAGCCATGTTCCCCAGCAACTGGAGGAAACCTGCAGCTATCAAGCATGGCAGCCACGGACAGCCTTCTCCACCCTGAATTTGTCCGTGCCACTTTCAAAGCCGCCCAAGCGGGTGGCCTTTGGCGGCAGTGAATTCCACAGCTGGGCCATGCACTGTGTGGAGAAGCACTTCCTCCGATCTGTCCTGATTCTTCCGTTAATCAACTGTGTTTTCCCCAGTGGATCCCATGTCTATAAAGAGAGCGAAATGTCTTCCCGTGCACTTTTCCCATGCCACACGTTCTCCTGTACACCTCCTTCCACCTGATCTGTTTTCTGCCATTTTTGACTCCAGATTACCAATTCACTGCCATGATCTGTGCAAAACAAGTGTCAGGTTTCAAGGGACATCTCCTCTTTAGATACTCTGCAGCACCCTGCTTATTCAAACACATTTGCAGAGGGCTGTCTGATGGTGATGATTCATGCTTGGATTTTCAGAACGTCTGTGCCACAGACCTGGCACCGCAGATCAGTTCACACTGCAATTCGCAGCCATTGCAATTCCTCAGACACGCCTGCTGACGACAGCTTGACGCATTACCAGGCCGAGAGGTGCCCTCCCATCACCTGTTAACTGATCCTTTTAACTGAAGAGGCCAGGCCCAAATCTGGGACGTTTTACATGCGAAGCAGGCGCACCATCACTGGGCTATTCCCTCCTCCCTGGAGTGAGGATCCAGTTGAAGGGATATGATTCATACTGCATACAAATTATATTAACGTTGCATCTGAACAAGGACAGATGCACCCAGATTCCGCCTGTGGGTACACAGGAAGCTAAAGGGGGTATCATATTGGGCCATCTATCTATCCTGAAGTAGCAAAGTTAAAAAAGGATAACGCAATAGGGGTAGTTGTACCATGAAACATATTAATATATAGCTATTATTAACATTTCTCTTGATTATAGGACAAAACATAAAAGAAAGCACAAGGAATGAGGGGAAGGACCAACATTTCTATTTAAAATATATGCAGGAAAACAAGGTATCACTATATCAAAAGAAACATCCGAACACTGTCGGTGGTTGTAGGAGATATGAACTCAAGCAGCAGGACCAGTGAGAACGTCTGTCCTCCACGTGATAGGCAGCAGGGTGCTTTGCCTTCCACCCTGGGCATCAACAATCCGTCCCGGCTGCTTGGAAGATCCTGAGCTCGGGGATTGCCCTGCTGGGCTGCAGCCAGCATGGAAGAGGGAGAAGCTGAGGTGATGCTCACCTCCCCACTCTCAGTGGTTGGCCATGGACTTTTCTACCCATCTAGCGAACGTGCTTTGGAGTGGGAAGGAAGAAGAGGCTCAAAAGAGCTCATCTTCTGGTCTGCTTGCTATCCTTCACTCCACCGTCCTCCAGAACACTGCTGCGATTCTTTCTGTTTTTAGAGCAATCCTCCAGTCTTCCGGATGGTCCCCCAGAGACCATTGGATTGCTTCCTGGGCCTCTTAGGAGCTGTGAAGGCTCTCATGATCCATCCATCTGTTAATTTCTGCATCACAGGGATGTCACTACAAAGTGAATCCGCAGCCTTTGTGAGCACAAGTTTTGCAGAACGAAATGTATGTGAGCAATGCCTTCCCACCAAAATAACACTATTACAGGACATGCCCATGCCATATGCTCGGTGAGGCATTGCCTTCCTTAAGCAGAGCTTGGCAGCTTCTTCTGTTAATTGTCAGTTTTAAAGCAGAAACAAAGCCCGAATCTATGTTAGCTAGCTGGAATACAAAAACCCTTTTAGGTGAGGCAAACTCGGACAAGTTTTGTCTTTGAGGGATTTAACTTTATTTCGTGAAAGCAATTAGCTTAAGTAATTTCTCAGATGCACAAGTGAGCAGAACACAGGAACTCTGGCAAGCAACCAAGGTACTGCCCAGTTCTTTTAATGTTTGATGGGAATGCACAACCATCAGGGCCCATGTGCCTCTTACAGCCCCATCAGCACTGGATTTGTCTCTGTTTTGTTTAAGCTTCCCTGATGCTTACCTTAGGAGGTTATTAATTTGAGGAGCTGGTTCCAGAAGGATTCTACAGGAGGCGGCTGGCTCATCTCCTGTTTAAAGGGGGGTAGGGTTGCCGGGTAAACAGGCTGTGCGTCAGTGGCTGTGGTGGAACAGGCCCAAGGAAAGGCGATGGCGCATGCGACATGATGATGGACAGCCTTCCCGAGGCAGTCTTTGGAAGTAAACGGGGAATTTCGTTGGGACTGAGTCTGTATGCACTCAAAGCCTATTTGCTTTCTACTTGTCCTAGTCTAAGCCATTGGTGCATGTGGTGTTTATAGTGCTGAAAATGGAGGGCAGACAAGTCCCTGTCCCCACAGGGTTCACACTCAGTTCCAGTTCCACCAGGAAAAGAGCAGAGGGAGGAAGAAGCAAAGGGAGCTAAGGAAGAAAGTGGGCAGGTGTCATTATGTTAAAAGTCAGTCCAAAAACCAAAAGTCTGTTGTGTCTTTGCAGCAAGGAAGGTACCAAGTTAATGCCAGGGACCTGGTCCAGTCAAGGCACCTCACTTGAGATTCAGAGAGACCCAAGGAGAAGCAAAGTCATGTGTTCCAGGTGAAAATGCTATACTGACTACAAATATTGATCAAAGCTGCATGCGGATTATCAGTAAGCATGCAAAAATAGTTTTCAAAAATGCATGTGTTGGGCACAAATCCATGCATAAACTCAAGGGTCAAGAAAATAGTAGAGCTGGAAGGGGCCATGAAGGCCATCAAGTCCAACCCCCTGCTGTTGCAGGACACCATGTTTCACCATCCTACTCAGATGGCTGTCCAGGTGCTTTTTGAATGTCTCTAGTGTGGGGAAGCCCACCACCTCTCCAGGCAGCTGGTTCCACTGTTGTATTACTCTGAAACATGCACAAAATGATGCTTATTATTTGCATGCAAACTTCTATTGCAAAATTCTCAAAATTTGAACCAGAGAGAGAGAGAATGAGAAAGAGAGGGAGGGAAATGAACTAATTTGTCCGTCCTTCGCTTTCTCTCTCCCCTCCTCTTTCGGCTATGGATCCAATTGCACAATCTTTCATAAAAACGACAGGCTATTGAGGAGGGAGAGTGAAGAGGAGAAAAAAAAGCATAAGCCAAGGTGAAAAAATTGATCTGTGCTACCATGAGCTGGCCCACTGAATGGGCAAGATGTTACCTTCCTGACTTGAAAAGTCTGGTTTGAGAGAGTTCACATTCAAGGCATCTTTAAAGAAAGCATTACAAAGGGTAAAAGCTCCACAGAGGAACCGTTCCAAAGCAAAGCCCCCCATGGAGCCAGAAATACACTTACTTAAAAGACGGCCACCTTTTGATCAGCTCAAGGATGCGACCCGCTGTTCTTCTGCAGCTCAGAACAACAAACCAAAGGAAGGGCTGTCGACACACCTTCTCTGGGTGAGAATCTCCCCGCAGGGTCAATGGGTTATGCTTAAACCTTTTGACAGGCATGAGAAGGACGTGTGCCTCCAGCCCTCCCCTCCCTATTTGGTGACTGAGGCTACAAAGATCTGCCCCAGTTGGGGGGTGGGGGGCAGAGACTATTGTCCGCTGATGAGCCCCATTCCTGTACATCTATTACCACCAAAGCTCTTGCCACTGGACACTTGACGCCGCACTTATTAGCATCATCTGTCTTAGGATGGAGGCCATCCCTCTTGTGCTTGTCCCAGTCTGGCAAAGTGAGAAGAGGTCCATGAACATGTGCTGAATGCAAGCTGCAGAACTGTAACCTTCTTCCGTTTGGGCCCGGCTCTAGCTGGTGGGTCTTGGGGTCCTTGTCCTATACGTAGTGCAGCCCAAGAGCCTCGGGTCTGCCCATACCTGCCTCGCACCCCACTTTCCATGATTGCTGTGAATCTCTCAGGGGAGAAAAAGACTGAGATAAAAGACACGCATTCAATTCATGTCTCTCTCATTCGACCTTCAACACTTTCAAAGCCTATCCATTGTCTCACCAAACTATGATATTAATGGTAGAGGCTGGCTTTTAACTTGGATTTTTCCTTATTAAAAAGCAAAGAGAAAAGCTCTTAAAGTAGCAGGCAACCGTTTTGATTTTTTTTCTAAAAAAAAAAATCAAGGCCCAGAGTTGGAATTTTTATTTAATTGCAATAAGTTGTAAATGTGCCTTTTGATTTATTATCAGAACACCTTCCCTTTCTCCGTTCTGCACGTACAGAATTCTATGTACTTAGTGTAAAATCTGGCATTTGGCATGGAATCTGGGAATTTCCTTCCTTCCGTCCTTCCCTCCTTCGCTCCTTCCCTCCCTCCCTCCCTCCCTCCCTCCCTCTTTCTTTCTTTTTGCAATTGCCATTGAAGAAATCTATTTATTGTAATTAGGCTATATTTCAGGATACCCAAGCTAGGGCAGCTTCAAGTAATGCCAAAATAATACAACCGCAACCAATGATAGTCGCAACTAAACACTTTTCAGAGCTTCTTCCCACAGTATATCAAGGGTCAGGTGGCGAGTCCATCTGGAGAAGGACCTCATGACTTACTTTATTTTACTTTTATATCCCACCTTTTTCCCTCTTGAAAGGAATGCAAAGTGACTTCCATGTTTCTCCTCCTCCCATTTTATCTACATGTCACACCTGTGAGGTAGGTTAGGCTGAGGGTTCATGAGTGACCCAGTGAACTTCGTGGTGGAGCAGGACTAGGACCAGGATCACCTCAGTCCCTGCCCACCGCGCCGCAGGGGCTCCCTTCCCTGCATCCCCCTCCCTCACATCAGATCATTGCACCTGTTGGGATGTTGGCCCCTGTGATGTCGGAGCAGCAGTTTCCAGACCACCCAAAATGGCCTCCCTATTCAGGTAATCACCTGGGGATGCCCTCCCCATGGTGCAAAGTCTGAATGTCCACAGGAGCCCAGTGCTTCCTGTCTTCTTCCAATCTTGATTCAAGCTGTTGGTCTGAACATGTAAATCCTTACATGCCTTGGGACCCACGAGCCTGGTGGAGCACTTCTCCCAGCCCGAAAAGCACACAGGACCCTTTAGTCACAGGGCTCCCTGGTTGCTCTAGGGTCTCTAGTTTCTTGGACACCCCGGTTCCGAGTGAAAAGTCAACGTCCATCATCCCTTGCCAGGGATTTCAGGCAGTTCCTCTCACACTCTGCTTCAAAGGCTGCTAGGATGCATGAGCGAGGCCCCCTTACTCAGACAAGGAGAGGGAGGTGGCAGAAGGCCGCACTTCAAGAAAAGGATACAGCATCGGTGGGGAATCTGGGCTTCTTTACAGTCTTCCTCAGCCAGGAAGAGCTGGCCATCAGCCATTCAGAGAAGGCAAACAGATTAATTCTATTTAAAACCAACGGTTGTCCCATATACTACATTGTCCTGAAAGGGAATACGTGTTTCTGCATATTTATAAGTGTGTTATTTTATCTCCACCCCAACAGACCTTTATGGGAGAAAGGGAGTTTACATGCACGGTGCATGATGTTAAAGCTCTTGTGTCACGTAACACGATCCAACTCTTCGGGGAACTTCTTAAAAAGATGTGAAAGGAAGAAGCGTGAGTTACTGGGTGTGTTTAAATCTTCCTTGCTGTCCAAATGAGCAAGCTAGCAGAAAAGAAACATTTACCCTGCATTTTGCTTTCCCTTCTTTCCCTTCACAAATAATAATAATAATAATAATAATAATAATAATAATAATAATAATAATAATGGAAACTTTTCATACTGCTACGTGACTCTCAAAAGCATAGATCTTAAATTATAAAGGGTGGTTAAAAGGCTCGCAAATCCATCATGAGGTTGTCTGCATGTGTGTACTTCCTCTCTCAGCTGCCTCTACATGTTGTGGGTCCATGCGCATCATTTCTCTCAAGGTGAATTCACACACCACCAGACCAGCAAGCGCTTGAGTGGCGGGAGTGGGGGAACCTCAGCTGTGCTTGTTATGTAGTTACGTTCTGTGTCAACAAGACTTCTTCAGATCTTATGTGTTCATGCTCCCAAACCACAGATCTGCAGACCGGAATGCTAATCTCAGCTCCCTGGGAGCTGCTGGCTAGACTTTTAGAACTATTTTAATCAGTCGAGCTCACCCAGTGTTGTACTTTTGGGGGGAAACTCAGTCGTCGATTGAAAAATGCCCTTCTCTTGAGTTTGCGAAGAGGTTTGGCGGTCAAAAACACACTCTGGGCTCAGAGGCCCCCTACGCTCCATGTCACAGTGACGTCATTCTTTCCCTCCGCACAGCTGCAGTGCTGGGGGGCATTCCAGGGGGTGGGCAGGGGTGAAGCAAGCCCCCTGGGATGCAAACCCCCACAGTGCGCCTCAGCCAGAATGGTCCATCGATGCACTTCAGAGCAAAGCAGAGGCATCAAGCCTCCCTTGCCTCGGCGCGCCTCTCACACTTGATCGGGTACCACCATCTTCTGCGCTGGAAGGTTTCAGGCAGCCATGTTGGAAGGTGCCCACCAGGAAATAGCACTAAGTGAAGCACTCGATGAGCAGAGATCATTACCCAAATGCATATCTTCAACAAATGCATGGGAAATGCATGCCTTTTGAGACGCGTACACAAAAAGAACAGGGACTTTCAAAAAAGCTGAAGTTGGAGAAGCAGGAAGCGAGGGAAACTGAATGGCAAGATTCCCTACTGGTCTTTTGCAAGGAATGCTTTCACACTCGTTAATGGGGTCCAGTTCTCCTTCTCCTAATGTAACGGGGGGAAGGGGGAATGGGCTCTCTTCCAGATACTATTTCATCCTGCATAGTTTATGGATTTAAATTAACTTCTGTAGACTTATGCCATTTGTGCTAAGAGGCAAGGGAGAGTGTAGAGCACAATTCAATGCCCGGCTGGCTGAGGCATGTTGGGAGCTGTAGGACTTCTTTCTGCCAAAACATGAGCAAGATCACACCCCGAAACACCATTGCAAATCAGCCAATCCTGAGCTCACCGAAGTTACGATTCACATCTGTATCGGAGCGCAAGCTACAGTATCCATCGCAAGCCCTGCTTAGAGTAGACCTAATTATTCAGTTCAATGGGTCAGCTCCAAGTAGAACACGCTCTGAATATCAACAATTTCTTTTCGCGTGGGATCCATGCGCATTTTCATGCGCAAGGATTGTGTGCACCTTAGAAAGGTCATATTCTTCTCACAGATGTTTGTGCGCATTTTTCACAAGTCTGGTTTTTTCATGCACTTGTTTTCCATGCAGTCATGCATTTGGGGGTGTCGCAATTCATACTGGAACCTCCGAGATGTACAGATTTCAAGCACAAATTGTATTTGGTGCTGTGTTTTGCCCGGAAGATGCAAAATGAGTAAATCCTGATCAAAAGCAAGCAGAAATGGATTTTCCATACAGCCTGATGTGGGGTCTGTGTTCAGAAAGAGGCGTGGGGTGGGGGAGCCCTCCTGAGTAAAACACATCTGAGGAAATATGCAAATATTGGCAGCGGGGGAGGCCCTGCATTAGAACACTCTGTGAGGAGAAACAGACACTCGGAGAAAATATTTGCATGGTAAGCCAATATTTAATGACTCTCGGGACAACCTCCCTCTCTTCCCTTTTGTAGCTTGTCCCATCTCATTGTAATTGTAACCGTCCTCTCCGTAACAAGGCCAGGGGGTTCCAAGGTCTTTGGCAAGGAACATGGCGAGCTGCATTCTCCAGGGCCAAAATTTCACAATGTAGCAACTGTGCCTCTCCAGCAGCTCTTGCACAACCTTTGGACCCAACTTCGGGCTGCATTTGGCCAACTCCAAATGAGCCGCTCGTCTTGGGATGCCACCCACAGCATTAACTCAAAGGCGGAGGGCCCAGGGTACATAAAACCAAGAGGCCCTCGTGCGGCAAGTCCAACTCCTCCCCATTAATGGGTTTTCATGTAGGATAAAAAACGGAGGGGAGAAGTGGTGGGAAAGCTTGGGAGAGTCGCGAACGGAGTGTGATCGCTTCTGTATGCCCATGAAATTCAGCAAACAGTGGCGCTGCGGGAGTGCCCTTCGTCCAACCGACAGATTTCTTCTCCTATTAGCAATGGGATACAGACGGAGCCAGCCCCACCTTGAGGCAGAGAGGCAGGTGTTGGGAGGAGGCAGCAGGAGGGCGATGTCCCACGCACCTACTCCGCACGCCCTCACTGCCCTGCTGCTCCGGGGTGGTGCGGAAAGCTTCGCCCGTGCTAAGGGTGGCTCTATCCACCACCAGCCTTTGTGCACGGAATGGAAAGAGGCACCGTCCTGCTCTTCAGATCAGGCCACAGACTGCCTTGGGCTACCCAGGTGCAAACAGGGGCTACCTCCAAAGGCCAAAGTGAACAGCGATGGTCAGAGTGGTAGACTACTATTTAAATACTCATATCCCAGGGTGTTCTTCTATTAAGCCCACAAAAGCACTTGCTTTGTTCTGCTTGAAACAGACCGCACAGGGTGGTGTCTGACTCCTCACTGGCATAGCCCCCCTTCCATGATCGTCTCTTACCTCGAGGGGTACAATCTGCATCAGAACGGCAAAATTGGTGAGGTGGTTGCACAGGCAGACCGAATGGTTGAGGTCCCCGCCTTCGCGCAGGCAGCCTTCGTTGGACCAGATGCCGCTGCCGCTTCTGCAAGCCACAAAAGGACAGGTTTTCCCGTGTTATACGTTAAACCCGTTTCCACACCGTCCAAGACATCTCGCCAAAGCCATTCAATAAGGTTCAAAAGCAGGACTTGAATTGTGGGAGATGGGAAGGAGGAAGGGGCATAAATGACATTCTCATCCTAGTCCCAACCCTGAGCTATTTCAGTCAATTTTTCACATTGTATCCGGCCAAATGGCCAAAACTCTCTGTCTGGTGTACAAAGATTTATGCCAACTACACAGTAAATGCTGATGGAATGACACAATATAAAGCCTCACACATACAAGCAAAATGAGGGTGATACACACTCCGCACCCCTTAATTCAGGTGGTTGAACTTTGTTAAAGCTTTAACGGTCTCTTTTGCAAACTCTGACTAAAGTAACGGGCACACAGAGGTCATCCTCCCACCAAAGTGGAAATGACAATAAAAGGTATGTTTCAGAAGTCGCTTCAGAAAGATGGCACATCAGGTGTCTGCTGTTAATATGCCAGTGAAAAGCAGCTCTCAGGAGAAGCTAAGGCAAAACATCTTAGGATACCGCACTGCCATAAACATAACGGCCTCAAACGCAGAAGCTGTCCGAGAAGAATGCGCCGGCCTGCATCTTCATCTCTCCCAGCTCCACGATGCCTGTGGTGGCCGTCCAAACCCGCTGTTCCGACAGGGCAGGAATTCGCCAGTCAAATGAGCCAAGATGACAGATGCTCACCAGTCAGACAGTATTTGATGCACTCTGCCCTTAGCAAGCCACACTGGCAAGGAAGCTTCTGCGGAAGCTACTGCTGACGGTGGGAGCTTCAGGACGGATGAAAGGAAGGACTTCTTCAAAGGTGCATCGTTAAATGGTGGAACTGACTTCCATGAGAGGTAGTGGTGGCCACCGATTTGGATGGCTTTGAAGGGGGATTGGACAAATGCGTGGAGGAGTCTATGCAGGGCTCCTGGCCTCGATGGCTAGGATCAGAGGCAGTATTCCTACATGCTGCAGTTGCTGGGAAGATGGGTGGGAGGGGGCTATGCAGCCGCGTCCTGCCTGCGGGCATCCCATGGGCAACTGGTTGCCCATTGTGTCAGCAGCAGGGCTGGCTGCTTTCCAAGGTTAGGAAAACGCCCCCAGAGAGTGGTCAGAGGGGCATTTCAGGGCATGCGGAAGGAAGGAGACAGGCAAAGATAGGAGCCATCATTACGTCTCTCCACCCCTCTCCTCGGCAATCTTCCAGCAAGACAGGCAAAAATCCCCCTACAAAATATGCAGGGTGGAATGACGGGGTGATACAGGTAGCCCCCACCATGCATCCCCACCCCCAGATGACCGTAAGTCTCCGAGTTCAGGGACTTTGGGACATTGCAAGAAAATCATGCTCTTTGTCTCTTTGCCATGAGGCTACACCTCAGAGAGACATGCCAAGTATTTCAGGAAGGCTTGTAAAACTGGAGGAGTGGGGAGGGAAACTTGCAGAGTTTCCCTTCAGCAACATATGCTGGCCTTTTGAGTATTATTATTAACATCAATTTTGTCCTGAAATTCGACTTTCAGTATGAGAACATTCAGAGCGTTGTTCCAAAGTGCAATTAGGCATTCTAAGCCATATGTTGGGCTTCCTCAGAGATGCTTTCCAGCTTTCCTTTTAACCAGATGTGAGTAGAAAAAATCCCCCTCCTTAGGTTAATAATGGACTAATAATCTGTTTTCATTTTACTGCCCATGATTTCATTGTTTTGACTGTTCCCATGAATCCGACAGGGAGGGGTGGGTCAACTCTGTTACTGTATCCATTAATTCACCCCACATGTTAAGGTAAGTAGCCTCTCCCAGTTCACATTCTGCTCTGTAATTTACACATAAGTAGACCTACCATGTAGCCCTCCAAGGACATTGTCAAAATCTGTCCCCAGATTTCACCCACCTACTTTTTATAGGTTTTTCTTTTTCTATACACCAAAATATGACTGGGACCAAAAATGTCCCTAAATTTACATACGTTTTAGGTGTTTTTATGCCCCAAATAAAGTTACAAAAGGAGATTATCCACAGGTTAACTTGGGCACTTTGACAGCCAAGAGGCTGAGCCAAAATTTTCAGCAAACTGAATTAAAATCCATGGACAGAATCTTTTTTAATGCTGCTTTGAAGTTTGTAGGTCTAACTATTGTTATGCAGAGACAAGCCTCATTATGCACAGCCTCAAGCAAGTTTAAATCTTAAATTACCTATATTAGCAGAAACCTACAAGCTGCTCTTCCGTCTCCTGAAACCGCCTGTGTAAAACCATTTGGCCAGCCAAAGGCTATTTCATAGGCAGAATTTGCTGCACCTGAAATACTTCTGTCTGCAGTCAAAAATGACTCCTTTTGTGGCCAATGCTTGGTCTTGTTTGTTTGCTTGTTGTGTGTGTGTGTGTGTGTGTGTGTGTTTTCATGATGATGAAGATCTAAGAAGTTTCAGACCTCTGACCCAATACACAAAAGATAATTTATATCTAACTATGTCACCTACCGATAATCCATAAAGGTACAGTAGAAGTTCACTTGGTTGCTTCGGTTCATTGCCATGTTGTATTGGAGAGGAGTCTAAAGGAAAAGAAAGAAGATGCATGAACAAGAGTCATTGGAATCTGCCCTGAGCAAGCAAGGTGTTGGATGTTATCCCCCACCCTGCCCCAATCCCAAATAATGTCCTTTGAAGTCTTGGACAAAGCCATGGTAGATGGGTTTGCCTAAAGTCAACACAAAAACCTAGCAAGCATTAAGGATATTTGCATGAATAGGATAACTTCAAATTCTCATGCAAAGATAACCAAACCCATGGTCCCCAGACTGAGTCAGATTGGAATTTAGCTATCCTGCAGATTTCACACTCCTCAGACAATTGCAAGACAGTTTTTGGAATTTTACAATGTACTTAATGTCTGCATTAGACCAGATGATTTAAGAAAAAGCATCCACAATGCTTTATCCTTGGTTAGAGATGATGGAAGTTGTAGGTCAAAACATATGGAAGATACCACCTGGCCATCCCTGTTCTAGAGCACAGAATTACAGTCTCCAGTCCTGCCTACCGGTTGTTATAAGACCGCCTTTCCAAACCTCCTCCTCAACATGTTTTGGATTTCGTTGCCTATCACCCCAGCCAGCATGGAATAATAGCTCAAATGGGGAAGCCCATTTCGGGAGAGGGAAAGGAGGTACTGGTGGCGGTGGCAGCTGAGGTTCACAGCAGAATCTTCTCCAGGATGCTGGGACATGCTCCAACCTGCCGATTTTGGGTGTCAGCTTGAGATCATTACAGCTTGGAGGAAGAGAGCAGGATCTGAATGCAAGGGATGGACGTGGCACACCAGCCAAAGCTGCTAACCTGCACCTGGGTCCACAGCGGGCACCAGAAAGCCCCTAACTGTGTGTTTGCTTTGTCTGTTTGTGTATGAAACTGCACCCAGGTGGCACTCAAAGTTGGGTCCAGAAATGCCCCCAAGCTATGAACCAGGTCCTTTTGGGGAGAGTGGAACTCCATGGAACAGGAATTTCTCCTCCAGTTCCCACACAACCACTATTTCTTTCCTGGCTGTGATTAGTCATGATGAAGACACTTCTGGTGAATTACCAGCCTCACTGATCATTACAACACGGCACTGAGAGCATCATATTTTGAACACCAGAGAAACACCCTCCTTGCTGGACTGATAAGATTCACTGGGTGCTGCAATCGAAGAGCCGACAAGAAATCCTCCAGTGCCACCTCCCCTCTTCTCTTCCACAAGACCAAACAAGGAAGAGTCAGGCACAGACAGAGCAGCTATCTTTGCATCATCTCATCCCAATTTGTCTCTGCCAAATTTGGGTTCCACTCAACAGCCTCCAACGTCTCTGGATGGCCATCCAGCAGATAAGCTTCCTAACTAAAACTGTTCCTACCTCACATCTCCTTTTTTTCCAGAAAGAAGAATGTTCATAAAGAACTTTCTTCCCATTTAGATAGAAGGAGGACTACACTGTGTTCCTTGACAAGACGAATGGCAAGCAGCCCTGATTTCGGAGCAGATTGCCGGTGAATTGGATAAACACTACAAGACAAGCGGTGCCCTGGAATAACATGCATTGCGTTAAGTTCTTTGCCTGCATTGCTTGCCGTTGCTGTGCCCTGCAGGGGTTTATTTACTTTTTTATTTTTTGATTTATATCCTGCCTTTCCCCTGCAAAGGGCTCAAGGCAGCTTACATCATTCTCCTCCTCCATCTTATCCCCTCAACAACAACCCTGTGAGGTAGGTTGGGCTGAGAGTCTGTGCCTGGCCCAAAGTCACCCAGTTGGCTCCATGGCTGAGCGGGGACTCGAACCCAGACCGTCTGAGTCCCAATCCCATGCTCTTAACCACGACACCACACTGGCTTTCCCCCTACTGCACGCACTTCGTGACATGGTGTGGCAGAGAGGCTAGAGGGGAGACCAGGGTTCCAGCCCCCATTTGCTCATGAAGCTCTTTGGGTAACTTTGACCAGTTGCTGACTTTCCACCTAACCTACCTCCATGGAAGGCCAGAACTCTTTATAACAGTTTGGGCAGCCTTCAAGGTATTACTAGTTGATCTAATCTGCTGATGTTTCCTCTCTTGTGCTGGCATGTTCTGGATCAGGCTGCCTGATCCTTGGTCAGACTCTTCTAACTCCTCTCATAAGGACGGGATTGTCCCATCACTGTGCCCTCCAGGACCCTCAGTGATGGAATCCCCCTTCCTACCCCTGTAGTTAAGCGAGAGTTTGGAAGGGTTTAAAAGGATTTGAAAACTGTTCTGAGTAGTAGGCAGTTTGTCGCTTATTTGAAATAAAGTCTGCTCATGATTTGTGCATTGAAATGGATTTTATGTAAGATTCTTTCCATGTTGCATATTCATTATGCTTTTTCCTAGATGCATGCTGTTTTGTGGTACATTCAGACAACTATAACTGTCCTAGTTCTGAAGGATTTAAATTGTTTCACTGCATTTTATGTGCATCACCTTCACCAGATCGTGATGACCTTCAAGCCAGCTTTACAATAGGGGTTTCTTTGCCACAAGAGATGGGGAAGGCCATGGACTTAGATAGCTTTAAATAGGAGAAGGACAGCTTGTTGCTTTCCTTTGCACTAGAAGCAGCCATAAATTAGAACCTCACATCGTATCTTAACAACAGTAGTCAATATCGCTGCTTTGTACACTTCCAAGGCAAAGCCAATAGGAATACTCAATTTATCAAAACACAGCAATTCTAGCTATGAAGGTATGTGTTTTTCTTAAGCAGTTTGGTACAGAAGCATAACAAGAAGTGTCTGATTATGTAACGGCTCTAGATAAGTCTTTAATTAAAAAACAAAATCTGGAAAGAGCATACCAAAATCAGGTGGATGGCAATTTTTCCCCTTTATCTTAGCAAAAATGTTTTTGCAAAGCTTAAAATGCAGCTGTGCTTTCAGCCCCTCCAAATGAAAGCCCTTGGCAGACATCAGAAGGCCCCATCTTTTTTCATGAGAAAACAAACTCATCTTCAGCCTTAAATGGATCCATGCACTGATTTAGTCTTTTCAGCAACGGAATGCAAGATGGAGAGGGAAAGAGGCGGTCATGATGTGCATGGATAGACACATGCAGCAATTGCTTTTTCACACTGTTGATCTAGGAAATGTGGCTCTTTCTGACAGGGGTGTGCATTTATCCAGCCTCTTTTGGAGGAGAACTGGAGATTGTGAATGCATACCGCCTCTCGGCCTAGATCAAACCTGGGCCAAATTGCCTACAAACATCCACTAGCAATGATCAGGAGGTATATTTTAAAGCAGCTTGTATCCTGTCATAAATCGGCTTGGTTCACACACACATCTTTACAATACAAATGCAAATACAATCTTACCAATAAGCTCCCTCAAGATAGGTTCATGGAGAAACCAAGGGACTGCTCTGGCTGCAGCCACATTTGGCTCCAACCTCCTGACAGAAAACAAGAAGGAGCTAAAAGTAGGGGTGATGCTACTTTTTTTACATACAGAAAAGATCCCCGGCTCAGGCCAAAAGGACCAGGACAAAGCTCTTAAGCATTAAGAGTGCAGCGCTGGGACTCAGGTGATCTCGGTTCTCGTCCCTGCCCAGCCATGGAGCCAAGCAGGTGGCTTTGGGCCAGTCACGGGCTCTCAGCCCAACCTACCTCGCAAAGTGGGGGCTGTGGGGATAAGATGGACAGCGGGAGGGGAAGGAGGATGTGCACCATGTTGAGTTTCTTTGTAAGCAAAGAGGGAGGCTATAAACCAGATAAATAAGTAAATGGACGCATTTGCTCATGCTAATTAATATGTGCTCTAACGACGGTGTGCATGCATCCTTAAAGGACATAGGCTCCTAAGGACACCCCTATTTTTAAAGTATGAATAGGAGAGAGGAGGGCCTTTGTTCCGGTGCCTGTTGGGGCAGGTGGCCACCCAAAGATTTGGGGCTTTGATTGGAAGATTCAGAGGTCCATGCAGGCAGGTTGCCCCTTACATCACCTCTGGCTTAGAGGAGGTGGCCCAAAGGAGGTGGCCCATGGAGCATGTGTCCTATTGGGTATCGCAGGCCACATGATGGTTCAAAAAAGCTTTTCCTGCCATCAAGGAGGCCAGCGCTGCCTGCGTCAGCATCACTCCTCCTGCATTGTGGCTTTGCTTTCCAGTTGGATAGGATGGGGCTGGATGGTGGTGAAGCCGTTTGCAGGGAGTGTGGTTCAGGACCATAGACAGCTCCTATAAGGCCCAAAAACAACATGGCAGTGGCTCAGAGCCTGCTGACTCACCAGCCTCCTCTACTTGCAAGGATCCTGTTGAAAGTTCCTTGTTATTTATTTGCTCCTCTTTTATACCACCCAGTAGTTGGAGTTCTTTGGGCAGTTCACACTAGTTTAAAAGAATTTAAAGCATAAAATACCAATAAAATCCAGGATAAGAATCAATTATTCCAGAGTACAGTAGAAAATAATTGTGAGAACGGAAGCAGAACCTTGCAGCAGTACAAAAACTTGAAACACAGGGCAGAATTTGAAAGACTGGAACTAAAATTCCTGGGAGAATTCCTGGGAAAAGAAGAAGGCACCACAAAGGGTACAATGTCAGTGCCAGGCAACCTGGCTTCCCTCAAGAGAGCTACTGAGTATGCTCCTTGGGTCTGGGCTGATACAGACAGGAGGCAGGTCCCCTGGCCCCAAGCCATTTGGGGCTTTGCGGATGAATGCCAGCCCTTTGAATCCAGCCAGCACGGACCTAGTCCTTCAGATGGCAAGACCTGGGAACTGTCTCCCACACAATCCCTGCAAAATAAGCCAATCTTATGGCAGCAAGCTTCAAGCTCCCCATTTTCTGATCACACAAAACCCTGTGCAACAACATTGACCGTCAGAATGCCAAAGCCAGTTCCTTCCACCTGTTTTAAACACAGAGGATGAGTCCAGATGCCTGTCATCTATTCTGCATCATATTAAAGAGACAGGATGTCCCAAAGCAGGAGTTGCCCATATGAGTGAATACACCAAGTCCTGCTATCACCTGGTTCAGGATCACCTGGGTAGGTTCATGAT